AGTGTTAAGCATGAATGGGAATTTAACAGAATACTTTGAGGGTAAAAGGGGAATTAGGCAAGGGGACCCTGTATCTCCATAGTGTTTCGTTTTAGTGGTGGAATATTTGAACAGACTAATCAAGTATGAGGTTGGAAAACGAGGGTTCAGATCTCATCCTAAGTGTCAAAAGTTCAAATCACTAATCTCAGCTTTGTTGATGACTTGATCATCTTATGCAAAGCTGAGGAAGCTATTTTGCACAGAGTTATGAAGGTACTAGAACAGTTTACAACTGCAGGCCTGAAAGGTAACCTGTTGAAGTCTAATTTGTATTGTGTTGACATAAATGACGAAATGAGAGAAGGAATCAGGGAAATAACCGGATTCGATTGGGGAGATTTCCCAATGAAATACTTGGGTGCTTCTATCTCACCTAACATATAGTGTGGACTAGATTGTTTTGTACTGGTAGAAAAGATCACAAAAAAAATAAGGTGTTTGACTACAAGGCACTTTTCCGATGCTTGGAGAGTGACATTAGTCAAATTTGTTTTGCTAACACTGCATACTTATTGAGCATCTGTTGCCAAAAAAGATTATCGCTCAAGTTGTGAGAGTATGTAGGGAGTTCCTTTGGGGGAAGAAGGAAAAATGGGAAGGCTTATTCACTAGTGGCTTGGGATGATATTTGTAGGCCTAAAAGTTTTGGTGGGTAAAACATTAAAGAGGCAGTAGTTCGCAATGAAGCAGCTCAAGGGAAGCAAGTGCGAGACTTAGCAAAAAAAAAAAAAAAAGATAACATGTGGGTTAAATGGGGCCATAAGTATGACCTCAAGGGGTATATCAATATGAGAATATCAAGCTTTCTAGGATGCTAGTTGGTACAAGAAAAAACTAATGAAGATTAGAGACATATTAAAGCCAAGGGTGATGGCAAAAACTTGGCATCAGGGAATGGAAACTACTCAAAAAAATCTGGGTATAATTGGCTTAGATGGAATGGGTCAAAGGATGAAAGTGGAAGCAATCATTTGGAACAAATATAATGTTCCAAAGCATTGCTTAATATTGGGGATTGTTATGAAGGACATATTGTGGACAGTTGATAGATTGTTGAAAATGAACTGCCTTGATCAGCCTTTTTTGTGTGTACTCCGTGAAGAGAAAAAGGAAAGTTTAGCTCGTTTATTCTTCCAATGTAAATATTCCAAACAAGTTTTAAAGAAGTTAAAAAACTGACTTGACTGTGGTAATGTTCCAGGGCAATTGTATCAGTGAAGGACAAGAATGCTTAAAATTTGGCGTCAAAGCAAATGCAAACAACAAGTGTTATTTGGTGTAATGATTGCGTCTGTTTATCACATTTGGTGGAAGGAATGAGGTTCAACATGATGGGAAGGCTTTGAATGTAAAGTTGCTATTTGAAATCATTAAGCAGGAACTGCTATGGAAAGTTAGAGTGCGTTGTATGAAATTTAGAACAAGTGAAAAGTTGTTCCTGAACAGAATTGGCATTTATGTTTAAATGAGAACTGATGTAATAGAAGGATGATATATTCTAAATCTTGACTTGTGATTTGATGATCAATATACTTTTAACCTTTTACCAAAAAAAAAAAAAAGAAGAGAAGTGAGTGAAAAGAACCGTTTCTTTTCTCCCCAAATTTCTCCTTCTCTTTGTCAATGAATTGAATCCCCAAGCTCTATTTCTTACACAACTCTGGGCCGCAAAGTTTGCAAAGATACTGATTTTCCTAGCCTTGATCCATTTACAAAGTTACAAATATATTCCTCTCTCCAAAAAAAAAAAAAATCACCTTGAGTTTTGTAATTTTTACTAAATATATTATAAATCACAAAATTCAATATGGACTATTTTTTAGGTACATAGATACTAACATTGATTGTAATTTACCCATTTAGATTTCATAAGCAATCAATAAATGACACAAAAAAATATTAAGAATTTGTACCCATAGCTTTGCATTGAATTAATGATTTTGTTCCTTTAGCATCTTTCAAATGTTACACATTATGATGAGTTTTATGATAATTTGGAACCAACATGTCTGAAGTGCCAACATATCTGAAGTGTTTGTTGTGATCTTTACAAATTTAACAAGGCAAGTAACATAACATTCACAACTTTTAAAATGACTAACTACATGTTTATGGTAAGTACACTATTCAACTTGGATATTATTGGTTGAGATACAGTTAGCTGAATCATAGAGAAAGCATTATAATTGGAGCAGACAAAATGTTCAAAAACGCTGATGTTTCATTGTTATTGGTTGTATTGGAAAAGTATAATATATGTGATGTATAGAATGAACATACCTATTGATAAGTTGAAATATGTGTAGAGAGTTTGGAAGGCTTGATTTGTCAAGCCGAGCAGATTCTTACATCTGGTTATAGCTATGAGAGGTGATAGTATTCTTAGGCTTTAATAATTTTGATTGATGAGTGACATTTTAGCTTTGTGGAAAATGAAAGATTTCATTGCCTATAGTAGAGAGTTACATCTTTTATTTGAGGTACCTAAATGCAAAGTTCTAACAAGTGAGTTCTATAAGATCTTTTCGAATGAAAGGAAATATTTGAAGGCTTATTTTGAGAAATTACCTTTTGCTATTTATCTTACTACTAAGACATGACTTCTATTCAAAATTTGAAATACATTGTGTTATTGCTTATTCCATTGATGAGGATTCGGCACTTAACCAAAAGATTATCGATTTTTGTACAATTGCTAATCACATTGGTGCTTTGATTGATTATACTTTGGAGAGGTGTTGTAGGAGTGGGGTGTTAAGAAAGTACTTGCGGAAACTATAACTAATGCTAACACTAATGATAATGGTATATCCACATTGGAAAAGCAATTGAAAATGTGGAATGGAGTCTTGATGAATAGTGAGTTTTTGCACATGAGATGAGTTGCTCATATTTTGAGTTTGGTTGTGAAAGACAAATTAAAGGCACATAATGCACATATTGCTAGAATCAAGGGTGTTGTTAGATATTAAGGCCTTTGCTAGTAGATCTCAAAAATTTAGATCGTGTATTGAGTTGGCAAAGATAGAAACTATGAGTTTGCTATGTTTAGATGTGGAGACTCGGTGGAATTCTACTTATTTAATGTTAGTAGATGTACTAAAATGTTGATGAGCTTTTATTTGATGGAGTTTGATGGAATTTATATGGTTGAGTTAACTAAAAAAACATTGCCTACAGTCTCAGATTTAGATTTTGCTTCTAGGTTACTTCCTTTCTTGAAAGTCTTAAATGATGCAATGGTTGCATTGTCTGGGTCTTTCTATGTTACTAGTAATAAATATCTACGTCATGTTATTGGTGTTAGTGCTTTCGTACCCAGATGCGTTATAATATTGATCTTGGGACAAGAGATATAGCTATGAGAATGAGAAAGTACGATAAGTATTAATAAAATACTGGTAAGATGAATTTACTTATCTTTGTTGCTGTCATCCTTGATACAAGATTTAAATTGAAAGGTGTAATTAAAACTTTTGAGAATGCTTATGGTACAAACATCGCCTCAGATTTTTCTGAAGGTAAAAAGTGCATTGGAGGCTATGTTTGTGTCTTATAGTTCATCAAGTGTATCACCGCATAGAGATATTTTGAGTCAGCATGTGGATTTGGATGTGAATGATATAGTGGAAGCCGATGTTATTGTGGATGCTTTTTTTTAAAAAAAATTCTTATTTTGTTGAAAATGATAAAGATGATAATGTTGTAGACAAGATATAGCTGCCTAGATACTTGCTTGAGAAGATTTGGGACAAGAATGATAGTAATTTTAATGTTCTTTATGCAACCAGGTTTTGTACACTTCTCTTGGTCGCTAGAGATGTGTTGACTGTGTCAGCTTGCACTGTGGCTTCAGAGTCAACATTTAATGTATATCAGAGTTTATTATCTCCGAGAATGGTTGGGGCTTTTGTTTGTGGTTGTGATTTGTTTCTAAAAGATCTCACTGAATAGTCAATTTTGAGAAGGAGTTAGAGGAGATCGAGGCAATAGATGTGATTGAATCAAGTATGTTCTATTCTTCAATATCTTTTACTTTTACAATGGTGTTTTATATCAAAAGTTGTTGTGGTTGGGGATATTGTTTCAACTTTGAATTATTAATGTGGTTTTTGATTGTGGTTTAACTTTCGATTATTATTTTGGTTCAAATATTTTAGCTACTCCTGGAGCAGATGACGCACATCCTCTCATCAAAGTTGAAGTTTAGATTGATGTTTTATAGTGATTGTTGACAGTTAACCAAAAAAAAAAAAAAAGTGATTGTTGACAAGTTTGATGAGCATGGTTCAATATATTATGTATTAAAACTTTATTTTCTTTAGTGAAATGTTTATGTTTGTTGGACATTTTCTCTTTTTTTTATTATATTTAAATTCACACATGACATTTTATTTTCTTGGAACTGTTATTCAAATATTTTGCAAATTATAGGAAAAAATTTTAATTCTATTCTGGTTTTGAATTTAGTTGATAATATTCTGGTCTAGTGTGATTTCTTATGCACAAATATGTTTAAGATTGCAAATATATCAAATTGATGAAAATTTTCAGATCTTGTTTTCCATTTCCACAAAAAAAAAATAAGTTAGTACTAGAAGATATTGTAATTTTCAGTAAAAAGAAAAAATAGCACCCAAAGAGAGAGGGGGAGGATACGCTAAAAAATTGAAACAAACAGGTCAACTCAGTTCAGATCGGTTCAAAAACATCAAGGTCGTGATCAAGTTCAGATCAAATCGGTTTCAGTTTGGTTTTCCCAAAAGCACAGTTACAAGGATCTATATGTTAATAGAAATTCATGGCAAAAGATAACTTTGGAATCACGGGGAAAAGTTATCATTCATATAAAGGAATGGTAGAAAAACATAGGCCCTAGAATTATATCAGCTATGAATGGCAAGGAATTAAGAGTTTATATCAAATAAGAGTGCAAACTGGTAGATCAACTAGTAAAAGGGAAATTCTTGTTTTTTTTGGGGGGGTCAAAAGCGGCATTCATATATTGCTTACAACTATACAATTGAGCTAACCAACCAAGATAGTCGAGCTAATCAACTAAATGATTGAACTAATTCAATTTGCCTTACATGTCTTTTCAAACCCACAGAAATATTCAAGTACATGTATGTACAATTTGGAATCGGTTAAATTGGCAATATATTACAGAGGCAAAAAACCAAAAATACACCCGAGACCAAAATACAAAAGAAGAGCATTGCACAAATAAAGATCCAGTTACAAATTCTACTAACAAAAACTGGATAATCTAACCACAACCTAGTTGTTTTGGATCTGTTGCTTTCTTCCCATTCTTCAATCTTTGAGTTTTGGTTCATCTTCATATATTGCTTCCCGTTCTTGGTATACCCCATATCTATGCCCCTCACTAGATTCGTTGGATAAACACACTAAAGAATTCCCAAAAAAAAAAAAAACATTGAAGGGGAAATTGGGATCTCCAGTCGGAGAAACCGAGCACCCATTCAAAAGTGAGCAAAAACTCTCAAAAAAATGAGAAAGATAAACTCCCATCCGGGAGAGCAATCCAAAAGCAAAGAAATAATTAAAACAAAATAAAGAAAATCTAAAGTTCCTCCATCTGCCGTATGGCCGATTGGGGGAGAAGGAGCAGAGAGTTCTTTTGTGGACGAGACTTTAGAGAAGAGGTGGAGGATGGTACTGTAGAGAGCGCAGCAATAGCGGAACAAGAATTAGTAAAAGGGCAATTCAGATAGAAAATCACATGGAGAGTTGTTAGCTTTTGTAAAAGTTTGAAATGATAGAAGCTTTGATATAAATAAACAGCGATATTTAAAAAGATCATCACAAAAAGATGACAACTCAAACAAAGGGCCACAACTAAGTGGTCCAAAATCCAAGCATAGAACTAGCAAATACATACATAGAAACATCAAATTTGAGTTTATACAGGTAATAAAAATACTACTCATTCATGCATGATTGATGATGATTCATCCCCCTGGAGATAATGTAACCATCTTTCGGTTCCTTGATTACAACAATTGGTAAGCATTATCATCCCAAAGAGGAGGGAGATCTATAAACCATAACTCCCCCAAAATCCCACATAAACATTAAAAAGATTTCTATTAATGCAACGCCCTGGCTGAAACAGAGGACATCAGTACTTTTGGAACAGATTAGTGTCCTGCATCCTTGAAAGTGCTTTCTCCAGCTGGCTCCATTTCTGTTCTAAGGTGCCGCTGTATCCGATTGACATCCGAATCAATCCAGGCGAAATCCCGGCTAAGATTTTCTCTTCTTCATTCATTTCGCTACTGGTGCTGCTTCCCGAGCAGGACATGAGGGTCTCATAGTACCCTAAACTGACAGCCATGAATCCAAACTGCGTGTAGTTTTGCAAAAAGTTCATGAACCGGTTGGCCCTTTCTTCGGTTTCCATGTCGACACAAAGGATGCCACCAAAACCATAGTCTTTGTTGGCCAACTTCTTGATCAGCTCATGGTCAGGGTGATCATCTAGGCCAGGGTAGATAACCTTAAGACCCAGTTTCTTCAACCTGATGGCGTAGGTCAGAGCGCGGTTGCAATGCTCCTTCATCCTCATGCCCAAGTGAGGCAGCCTCTCTGAAAGTTCAAATGCTACCTTAGGATTCATTGTTGGACCAAGCAGCATCAGAGCACCTTGATGAAGATCCATCATGGAGTTCACCAGGTTTGCCGGTCCACAAACAGCTCCTAATAAGGGGAAAAAAAAAATTGCACATTAGTTAGTACTATTTCAACATCATGGATTGTCATTGTTCGACAAACAAAGCAGCCCCATCGGATGAAATTTCAGAATCATATCAGAAAGAAGGGGAAAAAAAAAAATCACTTTGTACTTGTAGATTAGTCATCATCATTCTTGCTAAACATAATTACACAAATATAGTGACGTCAATATTCTATCTAAATCACACTCAAAAGAGGACAATAGGAACAAAAAGCATCACGTGAATTTAAAATTTTTAGGACCAACTTCAACCACTGAATGTATCACACTTTTGTTCAAAAGGGATGATGATATCTCCCACCACCATTGTTCTCCACTTTTTTGGTTCCTATTATAATAATTACCCTTTTATTTGTAGTAAAAAAAAAGGAAAAAAAAAGAAAAGGGAAGAAACGACAAGGTGGCATCATGATGAGTAACCACATCCGTGAAGAAGAGTGATGAAATCATGGAACTAACACCCAAAGGTGACAAATTAACTGCGACCATACCCGTACATGTGTTTCATGTGGGGTTTGAGGCAAATCCCCAAAGCCCACTTCACATGAATCTCTTTTACTATTTGTTTTTTTGGTATCTTTTCAGAATCTCAAAATTTGTTCTTCCTTAGTTTACCTTTGTGGTAGTGGTAGTACAATTATTCCACTCAGATGCCGGAATCTCGCTACGAATTGAAGTTCTTGCTAATAAGATTTTACATTTACAATGTGGTAAAGTTTAGATATTCTGGAAAACAGAGTCCTGGACTTGAAGGTATCAAAATCGAGAATGACAGATTAAAGTGCATCGATTTCAGCACAACTCTATACTATTCCGTATTGCAATAAAAGTCCGGCAACCTACCAAAGGCCTAACTCAATCACCATCATTGTTGGAATATTATTCGTATATTCACTGTACTGCGCCAAAAGATTAATTATATCAATTTCTTTCTCTTTTTCTTCCCCTTAATTACAATATGACTAATCTAATCTAATCTACAAAATTATAAAGCACAAATTATCTGTTTTATTTTTAACTTTATGAGCTAACTATTCTCATCCAGTAAGTCAGATTTACAGTCAGCGAAAATTAACACACACTTTTAGCGATACTGAAGAAGAGAAATTTACAGTCAGCGAAAATTAAATGATAATAGGTAGTATTGTATAAGGCTTCCAAGCCTTGCTACTTATGTTCACCAAAATAAAAATAAATGATAATAAAAATTAAAATATCGCAAGTAATTCCGGGAAAAGACACAAAAAAGCTCTGTAATGGGTGGAGCGTTTTTCTAGCAGAATGATGTCGAATGAAAACGATCAAACAGAAGAAGACACAAACCCAAAAAGAAAAAGAAAAAAGAAGAATACCTGCGATGATGTCGGCGCCGCCACTGATATACTTAGATATGCTGTGAACCACCACGTCAGCGCCTAATCTCGCCGGCGAAATCACCATCGGAGCGAAGGTGTTGTCCACCACGACCGTAACCCCTTTATCGTGCGCAACCCGGCAGAGCTCCGGCACGTCGGCCACCGTGAGCGTCGGATTCGAGACCGCCTCAAAGTACAACACCTTGGTCCTCCCTTGCACGATTGCTTCCTTCACCGCCGCGACATCCTTGATGTCCACGAACGACGTCGTTATGTTGCAGGCCCTGGGCATGAAGTGGGACAGCAGGGCGTAGGTCCCACCGTAGAGGGTCCTGGAGGCGACCACGTGGCCGCCGGAGCTGCAGAGCTGGAGGAGGACGGAGGAGATGGCGGACATCCCGGAGGCGGTGCAGTAAGCCGCCTCGGTGCCCTCCAACGCCGCCATCTGGCGGCTGAGGTTGAGGACGGTGGGGTTGAAATGCCGGCTGTAGATGAAGAAGTCCCGGTCGGGGCCGAGCTCGCCGGAGAACATCCGGCGCATGGTGTCCGGCTCCATGACGGTGAAGGTGGCGGAAGCCTCGATGGACATGTTGACGCCGCCGTGCTCGCCGAACTCGTGCCGGGCATTGGCTAATGAAGCCGCCGGATCATCCTCCCACATCGTCATCGGCTTGATTTGTTTCTTGGCCACCATGAAGGCTCCGCCGTCGTCGTTATTGTCGTCGGAACCGGAACGTTTTTTGGTCGTCAGGGCATTTACGGCGCCGGCGGTATCTGCCATGTGAGAATTGGGAGGTAATTGGTAGGAATTGATAAGAAAGTTTTTGAGAATTTGATGATGAGAAGCTGAATGGGGAGGATTGGTGAAGAACGTGAGTGTTTTATTTATAGAGAGTACAATTGTAATTAAGTCGCCATTAGTTTTTCTTAATTCTTTTGAGATGGGGATTTCCGTTGGATCAATGTATATTTGTTGATTTAATGGCCGGATACATTGGAAAATAATTTTTTTTTTTATCCACATGATATTTTGATCCGACATACGTACTAGGATGTAATACGATGTAGGAATGCATTGTACTATCCCAATTAATTACACCTTGTTTTTACTAAAAACGGAACAGTTGTATTAGGAAAAAAAACAAACAAGAAAACTATAGTGTTATGCTTGCTGATTCATTATTATTATTTTTTTGAAATGTCATGTGTGTTCACCAAATTAAATGACAAATTTAGTTTTGAAGAACAATAATTTTATTTTACTTTGATCTACTTCTACTCAATTTCAATGAATTCAATCTATACATAAGAGTGAAATAAGGGATGGTATATATTATTATTGACATAGTATCTTCCAAAATGAAAAAAAAGAAAAAAGAAAAGAAAAAGAGAGAGATGGTGTTACATATGTACAAATGCATTGTCACTACGTATTATCCTATTAATAGTATCTAGGGCTTCTCCCAGTTTGGCTGAACAGTTGTTACAATTGTAGCATATGCTATAGTGTGGTTGTAACGTTGTTATCAGAGTGTGTGTGTGTGTGTGTGTTTCTTAGTTGATAATGTGAGTTCTAACATTGAGCTTGTTAAAAATTTGAAAATATTGTTAGGAAATTTTTGTCTTTTAAAAAGAACTAGATTCAAATCAATATCATTTTTTTTTTGAGAAATAAATCAAATTAATTAGAATACTCGAACATCAAGTGTTTTGTATACTAAATAATAATAATAATAATAATAATAATAATAATAATAATAATAATAATAATAATAATAATAATCGACTTTTGAGGGGAGACAAAAAAGAAAATAAGAGAGAATACATGTGACTAATACATACATCCATCATAACGGACACTAGTACTTTTTTTTTTGGTAAATTACATCGAGTCATCTAATCCAAAGTGTCATTGAGGCATTGACCCGAATTGACCACAAGTATATTCTATATCTTAATATTATCCACAATAATTTAACCATTGTGAGTATAATAAAATGACATATCATCATTTTTCATATAATTGTACTTTTATTCAACTTTTTCTTATAATATTGATTCACATTACAAATCTAAAATAAAATAATTATTGTATCATCATAAATAATAATAAATATTATTATACTCTACATAATAATAAATAGTATTATAAAGTAATAATGAACTTCTTATTACTACTATTGTAAATGTTCTAAGGTTTTTTTTTTTTAACCTATAAAAAAGATTATTGTCTTCGTATATGTTAGTATGATATTTTTTAACATATTCATGTATACTGCGCACTTTAAGATATAAAGATAAAGAATACGATTACCAATGAAGTACTTTATTTATTATACTATGTACAATAACTTTTTTTTGGTTACAATTACAGAAATTAATTATAAAAATCGTACCTCTTAGAATAGTTTAGGGTGACATGTAAATGAATATAAGCTCTCAATTTCTTGAAACGGAAAAAATGACATTTAGATACTTATAGGGCGAATTTACCTCCATCATTGAGAATACTGTCTCCGCCCAAATTAAAGATTACGTATCTTCTTCAACCAAAAATCTAGACTGATATTATAAACATTTATTATTTTTTAAGACTAATATAAGAGAGTGAAACACATGGGTTTTACAATTAATGTGATTATTTAAAACAAAAGTTTTATTACATTCTCAATTCAGTATTATCTTATAGTGAAACTTAGCTTATTTACATTTTATGTTTACGCTGCAAATTTATGTAACAAGATTTGTATGATTGTTAATACAAAACCAACATTATAGGAGTATTTCGTTAAATAAATTAAATTAGGTACGATAGGATGTACCTTGTTTCAAGTTAGTGGGGATCCTCTTAGAATCACGTGCTAATCAAATGAGATTATGAAAAAAAAGCTTACTGCTTTCTGGCTTCCGGCGCAGATAATAAAAATTACGTATTCATCATTCCGACAGTGCTCATAATTAACTCCGATAATCAAACCTAATTCTGGCAGGTGCATGCATGCATGCCTTCTTAGTACTTGTTAATATTATCGTTAATCCTTTTATTTGTATCTTTCTTATTAATAAACCGAGTAGTGGTATGGTTGGATTTTAATTTCTTCTAATTAATCTACATCTACTTGCTAATATATCTGATGAGAATCTAATAACACAAAAAACTATAAAATAAGGCTATAAAGTTGCAAGGAGCCACCGAGCACGATGAGTAGTAGTTAATTATTCCAAAAGAAACTAATGTACGTATTTGTAAAATAAGCTGGTTCAAGTTTAGGTGTTCCTTTGGGAATGTGATTTTAACTTTGTAGTAAGGCTCAACATTAATGGTGGATTAACAAGATTATGAATGTATATAAAAAAAAATACTATGGCATTGATCCTTCAAGTTTAGTTGTTCATTTCAAAGTTCGAAGGTCGAAAGTTTACCTCTTTCTTAAATTTATTTCCGGCTTCCACTCACGTTATTCGGGGTGTATTTTTCTTTCTGTGATTCATACTTAGTTGAGTACAGTTAAAAGAAATACTTAACCATATGTATCAATATTGGCACATATGGTTAAGTATTTTTTTTTATATATATATATACATAAATGGTTGGTTTTTCATTTTGTCTCACCAATCGCGTTGAGTCAAGTGTTAAGGAAATTTTCATTTTTGTTAAGAAAGCATTGAATTTGAACATGAGCACTAAAAAAAAAAAAAAAACAAAAAAAAAACAAAAAGAAGGCAGTGAAAACAAGAGAGTTGTGCTAAAAAAAATAAATATTAATCTGAATGTAGTATCTTGCCATTTTAGAACGAACAGATATTTCGTAATAGCATACTGTGTAAGGTACACAGCTGGTTCAAAACTTCAAATCACAACCAGTTGATGAATTTGTCATGAGTGGATTGATAGAATCATGCTACTTCTGACCCTAAAAAATAACTCAATTTGTGTTTTGAAATTTATATTAGTTCGAGTATAAATTTGAAAACTCAACATAGATTTTTTTTTTTTTAAGGAATAAAGGGTATATTACTAGGATTACATTTGCCCTGGATTAATTAAGTACATTAGGTCCCATGATTAGTGTGGATATGCATAAACAAAATAGTTTATCTCATTCTCATCCATCACGTGAGCCCCAGGTCACATTGTTGGACCAAACATTCGCCCAAGTTCCAAAGGAAAAGGAACTCTCTCTTTACACAAAGACTCACAAACGTCAAACAATCCCCATCCCTTATGTTCAATTTCCGCAAAATCGTTATTATCCACTAGTTCCATTCATTTTCCGCAAAAAAAAAAAAAGAAAAAAGAAGTAGTAGTAGTTCCTTTCTATTAAATTTTTCAGTTTAAATTATACCTTAGAAATATTAGTTCTTTCTTTTATATTTATTAGTTTAATTATACCTTAGAAATATTGTATAAGAGGAAAAAAAATTTTCTCATAATTATCGACACCCTTCATTTTATATAAAAGATAATTAGTGCAAATGGAAGTAACAAATATGAAAGTATACCTTCTAATGTAATCATATTAGCAAAAAAAAATATTGAAGGACTAGAAAAATGGGGAAAAAAAAACCTAGAAATATAGCAATCAACTATAAAATAATGACTATCAATATTCTTGATTCATATTTTTTTGTTTCAAAATAAAAAGACTTTTAAATACTGAAACCTACGATATTACATGAGGAAATATTCACTGCAGCTGCTATACCAGGTAAGATTGTCTAGTCAGACACAATATATAGGATAAAATAGGTATTAAGGAAAATGAAAACGAAAATCCCGAGCGAACCAACATGTCTTTGCCAATTTGGTAATGCAATGCTACTATTCAACTTATGTGATGCCAACATTAATTTGAGTTTTGAGATTGTGGTTTAAATGTGGGAATTAACGTGGATGGATTCTCCTCCATAATCCATGGAGAAATTAGAAATAAAGTTTGAACTTTTCTTTTTTGAACAATAAAGTTTGAACTTGGATGTGATATTGGGCCACATACAATTTTCGGAACGCTTGCCAACGTGCATGTATTACGACGGTAAGAGTCGTCTGTGCTGATGCTGGAATAGTCAACAATATTCTACCCCTTTTGGCTTTTGTCTGCATCGTTTAGAGTTTCTTCTCGCTGAAAAATAATCTGACAACGATCTAATAATTTACGGTCGTTCAATTTGAATTTATATTTTTGTTAAAACATTTATTAAAAGTGTGGGTTTATATAGTTTCATTTTTACAATAAATATGTACAAAGAATGAAAATTTAGGCTGCATAATTATTTCAACGCTAAGAGAATATTATTTTTCAAATAAGTCTATGTTTAGTAATGTACGTATGGAGACACTTAGAGAGTATAATTATACTTTTCATTTTTTCTACTCTATATGTCCCAAAATTATTGTCCAGTTTGAGTTTTCATTTTTAGTTCAAATTGTAGTAAAAGTGAAATATCAAACTTGACAATAATTTTGGAACGGAAGGAGAATGTGATATAGAGAGTAAAACAGTAAGAAGACATGTTTCCATTAATTTTGCATCGTTTGACCAAAAGACTTTAAGTAAAGAGATAAACGAGAAAATGAATTCATATCGAACATTCTAGCTATATTTATCCATCCAGCCACCTCAGCTTTGCATCATTGCTTCCATATCCCATACAATTGGAACTTGGAAACAAGTGGAGAGATTCAATGATGGCCACTGGACAGACTTATTCCAAACCTTTATCTTTCCATCTTTCCTTTTTGTAATAAAGAAGAAGAAGAAAACATATAATCTTAAGTAATTTGAGATAATCATGAGTGTCTCAGTGGAATGCAAACTTAAACGATAAAAAAGAAAATTATATAACATGTTTAATGGTCATAGTCCAATACATACTTAATTATGGTACCATAATCTATAATGTCTTAATCCCTATCCCATGTCACAGTAAGGTGATATCAATACAATACAATAATGGTTGATTATTATCTGATGGAATTTTGGATTTTGGCTTTGGGATTGCGATGGAAGATCCTCTCTGAAATGACTGCTCCCAATTGTTTTGGTGTAATACCTAAGCCGTACACGTCAAAGGGATATAGGGCTGTCGGAAATTTTGTCCATTCTGAGTAAATTTTCCACGTGGAACACATAATCCATATTTTAGCTAGCTTAATCAATTGAATTGGGACAATTGTTATCCCATCCTTCATCATTAGCGATCACACCCGTGACTGTTCTTCCAAATCTTCACATGTAGTGTCACAAATCATTTCGGTAAAATTTTCTTGTATCATTTTTGGTATCAGACATCTTGTAATACTATTTAAAAAGATTTAACACATTTTTTTTCCTTAAAAAAAATAAAATTAATACCTAAACTCACACCATTGGATGAGTTCTTAGACGCAATGTATCCATATATCTTGATCCAATCATGGTCAATAAATATCAACTAATTAAAAAAAATCATGTCACCTTTATTACGTACGTAGGCTTAATCGTTGGTGCTTAATGAAAAATATGCCTGCCCTACTATGAATGACGCCTATTTCTTCGATATGATCTCCTAGCAATATAGTTTAATTTGTTCTTTTGTGTTATTCTATATAGACATATTCGAATGGCTATTATCTTCAGTCGTAACGGAACGTACAAATATTGTAGTAGTAACATAATACTTGGTAGTTGGTTGTATAACAACCTCTTGTCAATTTTATGGAATGAAATAGAACTTTTATTCAAAAAAAAATAAAAATAAAAATGATGTCCCATATAAATGTTTGCAAATGAAAGACTCCTGCGGCCTTATTGGACCATTTTGCCTGAAGAAGAACCATGCAAGCTACCAATACTGCATGTTTTGGCCGGTCCTTTACAGTTGATAGGCTTTAATGAGAAATAACAGTTCAGGATTACCAAATCGAGACAGAACCAAAAAAAAAAAGCTTTTTTAATGGGTACTCCCTGATTTTTATTTGTTTCTTTTCCTTCCGTCGTTGTATTTTGAGTAAGGCCTGTTTGATAAACCAGTTAAGCACTTAAACTTATTAATTAAGTATTTAATTGATTAGCACTGTTTGATAATATACCATCATAATAACTTAATTGCTTAAAAACTTAATTTATTAAGGATTTAAATTTTAAGTGTGTTTGATAACTCAAAGTAGGATGTCTTAATAAATTAAGTGGTTCTGAAATACTAGTACAAATATGAGCCTAAAAATAAGTGATAGGCCTATCACTTATGTCGGAACTGAATTCTTGAGACGATTTTTTTTTCTATTTATTTATTTTTATGTTTCTACTTTTGATATTTTATCTTGAAATATTTTTATTAATCATGATGTCTAGTTCTAAATTAAAATTTATGTAAATTATTTTTTATTTAATAAATATTTATTTTTATATAAAAATTAAAATCCATTAAATTCCATGATCAATATATCTTTACCATAAAATATGAATTTTTTTGACAATGATAAAATATAACATTATTATTAACTGAAAAAATAATAACATAATAAAATTTAAATATTTTTATTACATTATTTAATACTAATAAAATTATTTTTTTATCATAGTTTCATATACATCAATTATTTTTTTAGATAAAATTATAAATCGAGATAGTTTAAATTTCAGCGTTCAGATTTCAAATTTCAGACATTTTATTTAGTGTTTAGATTTTGGTTTTTATCAAACACGACAAACTTAATCAATTCAGTACTTATGATTCAGTCTTCAGATTTTAGACTTCAGACCCAAATTAAGTTTTATCAAACGGGCCCTAAGTCTCTATTGTTCACAAAAAAAAAGAAGGAAAAAAAAAAGTCCACATTGTGATTTGTAATATATTTATACTAAAGACAATAAACTTTATAAATTATAATGTAAATTTTTTGTTGGGAATAAAAGGATTGTAATTTTGAAATTAACATAATTGAGGTACTTGTAGAATAGAGCAGATCCTGTATTTTCACCATTAATGGTTGAATTATATATCACAAGAGCACAGTCGTAATTTTCAGCAAGCAAATTGCATATGGGAGAGAAGGAAAAAAGAAAAAAAAATCACTATTTTTTGTTTCTATAATTAGGTTGTCCAAATTAGCTGATGCCATCGGATTATAAGTGATTCGAATAATGTTCAATTCATAACAAACTCTTTAACAGAATCCCATATAGGAAAAGTAACTTATGAGTTATGTGATAGCTGACCTAATTCACATGCAGTTGCAAGTAATATTAGAAAAACTGATAATGTGAAAAACAAAACTGATTTTATCAAACTCCATAAGGTTTAGGCAATTGAAGATGAAGATTGATAACCGAAACCCGTGACCACCTTTTACAAGTTTTATTTACTAAAGAATAGTACTCCCTGCGTCCCAAAAAAATAGTCCACTTAAAAATTTAATGTGGACTATTTTTTTGGAATGAAGGTAGTATTATTTTGATAGTCATGCGAAACCAACCGCATATGGACGTCATTTTCGTAAATTACTTGCCCCGATCTTTCTTAAATTTTTCGATTTTGTTAGAACTAAATATAACATAGTCAATAGATGAGGAGTTGTTGTTGATGGAGGTAGGGCTGTTCTTTTACATAAAATTGACCCGAACCGAATCGAACCCGAACCGAACTGTTAGTTTGGATCGGTTCGGAATTGGGACAACTTTCTTTTGGATCACTATGATTCTAAATTTAGCGTCTGAACTGAAATTCACCCGAAAAGAACCATTTTGTATCCGATGATGTCATCAAAATATTACGATGACATCATCTTGTCGGTGCCGGTCACCGGAAAAATTAATTTTCTGGCAATATTACCGAAATTTTTGGCCAGAAAAATCAATTTGCCGGTGTCGTCGCCGGAATTTTTGGTCGGAAGTTGTTGCCGGCGGCGGTCGGTGGCGGTCAACTTCTAAAACTATTGAAATTTATTATTATTATTTTTGGTTTAAATTAATTCGGTTCAATTTAGATAGTTACTTAAACCATTCCACTCTTTCAAATAATTGATCTGAACTGAACCCAACCAAACTAAATTTTCGGATCGGTTTCGAATTGCTTCAGTTCGGATCATCGTTTCGATCCGAACCGTGGGTCAAAATGACCAGCCACAGATGGAGGAAAGTTTCCTTTCAATCAAATATGTATACTACATTTTTTTTTTTTTTTGGTGGTTCTATAATCTATTCTCTCACCTAGTCACACCTTTGCCAGTGTTCGCAAATAAGCAAAAATGCAATTGTTACTCTCTACTACTAACATAGCGGGAAATAAAATGTCAGAAACCCCTCAACAATCCATTGATCCAATCCCCACCGTTTCTTTTTCAGTTTCTTTTTTATTTTTTTTATTTCTCAATTCGTTTAAGAAAATTAAAGTAATGATTATTGAATGAAAATAACATAAGTATGACGCCAGTTTTAGACTAATTAGTAAGAAGCTCCCACTAAACATAATTAGCATGATTTTTCGTTTTTGTTGAGGCAGCATTTCATCATCAAATCGCCTCCATTGCGGTGCGGGCTTGTACTGATCGGACCTGAGCCCAAAAAAAAAAAATTGCAAATGGACCATTAAAGGAAGGGCAACTAGTGCTAATCGTTCAACCCAAAAATCATTAGGGTAGTTGGGCTAGCTCGTGGGCGGTTGTAGCAGTGGTTTCATTTTAGCAAAGATCCTTTTTGTAATCTTATGGGCCGAATTTCACGCATGTGTTTCTTCAAGTTAAGATTCACACAGAAGCATCCCATAATGATTAATGACCGACTGCATTTCTTATTTTGAGATTTTTTGTGCTTATTAGTTATGACTCTGAGAATCATCTTAATCAATTAGCAAGGGTTTTGATCTAATAAATCTAGCTTGTGGTGGAATTTGGAATAACGGAAATGGGAAAATGAGTTATGTAAGTAAAAAAACTAAGCCAACCACAACTATTTTGTTTTTTTATTTTGTGGTTAACACTATTTTTGTTTTTCAAACACTTACAAAACTGCATTTTATCAAGTACTCCCTCCGTTTCATAATTATTTTTCAGTCTAAATTTTCATTTTTAGTTCAAATTATATCAAAAGTGAAATCTCATACTGGAAGAAAACCGAAACAAAAACAAGTACGGACGAGACAAAACCGACCACTCTCTATCTATGTAATCTCAAAAACTCTAGAATATTAATATAACTTTCTTAATTAATGCTATTGACGCAAGACTGCATGATACAACCGTCTATATAGGTTGATTGATTCAGATCGCACTTTATAGTTGAAGTGTTGATCATGGGCTGTGGAGTATAAAACAATTTAACATTTCTATTCGATGCTAGAAACAAAATTTTATTACCATTGAGGTAGGGACTGTAGCCGCTGTCCAATTTACCTTTGTCAAGCTTTAATAAGATAAATTATAGTTTTAGTAGTACTCCCTCTGTCCCAAAATTATTGTCCAGTTTGAGATTTCATTTTTAGTACAATTTGAACTAAAAATGAAAGTTCAAACTGGACAATAATTATGGGACGGAGGGAGTATTTGGTTGGTAGCTAACTTTCTTCTCCGTTTCCTACCGGATTTGGGCTAGTAGGATTTGAATATTACCAAATCCTATTTGGTTTGTAAAGAAAAAAAAAAAAAGAAGAAAAAAACTAGTAGATTTCAAGGCAATAATAGAAATCGGTCTATATATAAGAGACGATTGATTGCTCTCAACTTCATCAAAGTACCGCCTTTCGTCTTCTTTGAGTTTCCTTGGGAGCCGGAACAGATCAAGATCTCCATCTAGCAGAGAAGGAATGTGTTCGAATATTCGTAACAGAGATAATGATGATTCAGTATCTAAAACAAAGGCTGATGAAGCAGCTTTGGAATCCAAAGTGAAGCAAAAACCGACATTCGAGCTGTCCGGGAAGCTGGCCGCGGAGACAAACCAGTATAGAGGCGTAACGCTGTTGTTCACCGAGCCACCGGATGCAAGAAAGCCCGATATAATTTGGCGATTATACGAGTTCCGCGGCGGTGAAATGTTGAATGATAAGCCCCTTTACCTAAACCGGGGAAGCTGTTATCTTTTCGGAAGGGAAAGGAGGGTTGCTGATATACCTACTGATCATCCATCTTGCAGCAAACAGCATGCTGTTATCCAATTTAGGCAAGTTGAAAACGGAAATAATGGTACTTTATCTAAGAAGACGGTGAGGCCTTACATTATGGATATTGGGAGCACTAACGGGACTTTCATCAACGGCGATCGGATTGAGCCTCAGAGATATTATGAACTCATGGAGAAAGATACGTTGAAGTTTGGTAATAGCAGCAGAGAGTATGTACTACTACACGACAACTCAGCTGGTAGATGAAGGCTTTTTATTCGACTTGAATTGTTTCTCAGAGGTTAGAATGTAAATACTATCTCCATCCCAAAACAAAAATAATTTCGGTTGAATTTTGAATTTTAAATTCTATATTTCATTTAGTACAAATCTCAATATTGTGGATAATTTGTTCCGAGCATAGGGAGTATTTTATTTGTCATAATCTTTCAAATTCATCACCTAGTTTCAAATTTCTCTGTTTTTTCAGTCATGACCAGTTCGTGACCAACTCTATTATCTTCTGAGCAAAGTAGCACTTTAGAAAGGTGGTCAGTACTATCTTCTCAACATAACTCTCCTATGGCCCATAAAATGTTCAATTGTAAATTATTTATTTATAAATACATTTTTTTCCCTTCCGTTTTAACAACTCAGCTGGTAGATGAAGGCTTTTTATTCGACCTGAATTGTTTCTCAGAGGTCAGAATGTAAATACTACCTCTATCCCAAAACAAAAATAATTTCGATTGAATTTTGAATTTTAAATTCTATATTTCATTTAGTACAAATCTCAATATTGTGGACAATTTGTTCCGAGCATAGGGAGTATTTTATTTGTCATAATCTTTCAAATTCATCACCTAGTTTCAAATTTCTCTTTTTTTTCAGTCCTGACCAGTCCGTGACCAACTCTATTATCTTCTGAGCAAAGTAGCACTTTAGAAAGGTGGTCATTACTTTCTTCTCAGTATAACTCTCCTATGGCCCATAAAATGTTCAATTGTAAATTATTTATTTATAAATACATTTTTTTTCCTTCCGTTTTAACAACTCAACTGGTAGATAAAGGCTTTTTATTTGACTTGAATTGTTTCTCAGAGGTCAGAATGTAAATACTATCTCCATCCCAAAACAAAAATAATTTCGGTAGAATTTTGAATTTTAAATTCTATATTGCATTTAGTACAAATCTCAATATTGTGGACAATTTGTTCCGAGCATAGGGAGTATTGTATTTGTCATAATCTTTCAAATTCATCACCTAGTTTCAAATTTCTCTTTTTTTTTAATTCCTGACCAGTTCGTGACCAACTTTATTATCTTCTGAGCAAAGTAGCACTTTAGAAAGATGGTCAGTACTTTCTTCTCAGCATAACTCTCCTATGGCCCATAAAATGTTCAATTGTAAATTATTTATTTATAAACATATTTTTTTTCCTTCAGTTTTACCATATCCACATAATGTGCGGGACAACTACTAATATAAATAAAAATAAAATTTATTTAGTAATGATACATGTAGGTAATAATTGTCAAGAAACTCTACGAGAAATGATTTAATTTAAATCTAAACCATTCCTTAACCTTATAAATACATAAATTCTAAATCCAAAAAAATAAAAATAAAGAGATGTGACTTACTCCACATCATTCTTTCACACTCTTCTTTATAAATATTTCTCTGCATATATCATTATTCAAATTTATTATTGATACTTTTTCTACTAATTTAACTATAGATTAAATCTTTTTCTAGGAATCTATACTATTGCAATTCTCCAGTTTGAATTTTCATTTATAATATGTATTGTACTGAAAATAAAAATATAAAATGGACAAAAATTTTAGAACAAGGAGTAATTGTTTTGAAAACAAAAAATGTACCACATCCGCATTGTGAATGTTGTATTGTAAAAAATCCAAATGTAAACAATAATTTTCAGAACTTCTCTCGGAGAGGGCGATGGTGAGAAGATATAGGTGACAAAATTTGATCGAATACTACTAACATTGCAAATCGATTAGAGTTGTGGGTAACACTTTTTGCGTAACATGTTTTGTGTTCTTACTCAAAGCAAATAATTGGGGGAAAAAAAAATAGAACACCGACAAGAGAGATAGCGGCCGGTAAACAACGACGTTGGAAAATATGGTTCGTGCCTTTTCTTGACTCTCCTTCTCTATCCTCTCCCTTCTCTCCAGATGGCAAACCTGTCCACTACCTTCTAAATTTAACAAATAAAAAAATTAACTAGCAATTTTCAGCCATTAAATCAACGACGAAAACATTTTTTCTAAAAGATTTAAAGTAATAAAATATTAGTAAAAGTCAGACTTGTCCCTCCTATGTGTAACCTCTATCTTCGTTGTGTGTGGGGCTGTTGTTGGATTGGATCAGACGTCACGGTAACGGCGGGACCATATCGTTATCGCTATCGTTATCTAATCCAAAAATTTAACACTTCCCATTTCCCAATGTCTCTCTCTCGTCCAATTTCTAGTCTTCTTTCAGTTTGAAGACTCATAATTACAATATAGCCCTTGTAGAATGTCTCTTCTGCATATTATCCATGTAAGGCTTCATTCTTGCAATTTTCATCCCGTACTCTTTCCACCTGTTTTCCCTTCGCATACCTTTCTTACCTGTTTATAGGCTTAGTTTAATTAATAATGGTTGAGATTAGATTGCTTCTAAATTTTATCGATAAATTATTATTGTAATACTGACTTAAATTCTTAGAAATTCCAGAAACATGCAAAATAGACATTGTTAAAATAAATTATAATACTCAAATAAAGTTATTCAAAATTCATTAGTTGTTGATACTTAGAAAACCAATTATCTAGAATGCATTATATTGGCCTAACAAATATATTACCACATGAATAGTTACCTAAAGAAAAATATACTTTTATAGGTTAGTTGTCTAGACTAATGTTTGTTATCTTATTGAGTAAATAGAACTTTTTCGTATTAATTTTCCTTTTTTTCTTTTTTTCAACTAATCGATTAGAAGTGACCAAATTCTATAAAGTTGTCATGAAATGGACAATTCGCAAGCAACATGATATTTGGAGATTTTGTCTCCTAAATATCAATGGTGACAATTAAGTGATCATGAACAATAATAGGTGAATGATTAAATTTATATGTGATAATCACGTCGATCAAATCTTTTGTTTTTCTCGAAATGTATAACAATGACAACAAAGTAGAAACCAAAACCCGTAGCTTGAAAGCTTAATATAAGATTTCTGAACCTAGCTGATGTGTGAATTAGGGGGGAAAGTCTTTATTATTATATGAAAGCAACTTAAAGTTCAAGGACAATTTATCTAGATGGGGCCATGTGAGAGAAAATATATTCTACGGGGAGTATTTCGTAATTAGCTCATTCGGAAATTCCGGTTTATTATCCACCTGCGACGTTTTTGGAAAGCTTTCATTTTCCTTTTTCTTAGCATTTTTAACATCAACGCATTCCACATTTTACACATCCACAGGGGGTTGCTTCGCTCGCTACCTTTACTTTCTTTCCTCTGTAATTTAATTTTCCAGGAACTTTTTCTTGTCTGGGAAATCTTTTGATTCTTCATCATTCTTGTCAAAATTCCTTACGAATCTTTGATCCGATTCATATACCCTTTTAGATATACATACGAGGGGTGTTGTCAAAATTTCATCTTCCGGTCAAATTTTTGGTGGGACAAATCATTTTTCCCGGGCAAGTTCTTGTTCCTGGCTTCATTTTTTTTAAATTACAGCGTTGGAAGCAGTAAATGAGAGACCCTTTTTTATAGCCGATAGTGATCTCTCTTTAAGTCTCCGGAATGCGTACGCAAATCTAAATTATCAAAAATTTTGCATCTACAGAGGTTGGGATCTTTTGCTCTGACTTTTTTCCTTCAAGTTATTTAACTTGATTAATCGCAACGTTATCTCGTAATTTTCTTCTCACTTGCTGCCATTTGAAATTTGTTCCACGATTCTTTGTTACCTGTTTCCTGTAAAGTTAGTTGTTCATTGAATCAAGAAGCTACAACCTTGATATTCATCAGGAATTGGATTGTAAAGTTTGTTAGGAAGAAAATAAAAAACAGAATACCTGGATAAGGTTTGTTCTTTTGTAAAGCAGAGATATGGATATTAGTAATGAGGCTAGTGTTGATCCTTTCTCCATTGGACCTTCATCTATCGTGGGTAGGACGATTGCTTTTAGAGTCCTATTCTGCAAATCAGTGTCACATTTTAGACATCAAGTGATGCGGATGTTGTTTATGTACTTTCATAAATCGAAGGAGTATTTGTCGACCTACTTGACCCCCTTGATCTCATGGCTTCACCCTAGGAATCCACAGGGGATATTAGTATTAGTGACACTGATAGCATTCTCGTTGAAAAGATATACTAATTTGAAAATACGGGCTGAGATGGCTTATAGAAGGAAGTTTTGGAGGAATATGATGAGGAGTGCCTTGACCTATGAGGAATGGGCTCATGCTTCTAGAATGCTGGATAAGGAGACGATTAGAATGAATGAGGGTGATCTTTATGATGAAGAGCTTGTGAGGAATAAACTTCAAGAGCTTAGACACCGTCGCCAAGAAGGATCTCTTAGGGATATTATCTTCTGTATGCGAGCTGATCTTTTTCGCAACCTTGGCAATATGTGTAACCCTGAACTTCACAAGGGAAGGCTTCATGTTCCAAGACTTATTAAAGAGTATATCGATGAAGTCTCTACTCAACTAAGGATGGTTTGTGACTCAGATTCAGAGGAGCTTCTTTTAGAGGAGAAACTCGCATTTATGCATGAGACCAGACATGCCTTTGGTAGGACCGCTTTGCTTTTAAGCGGAGGGGCTTCACTGGGAGCATTTCACATAGGTGTGGTAAAAACGTTGGTGGAGCACAAGCTGTTGCCTCGTATAATTGCAGGATCAAGTGTTGGATCTGTCATGTGTGCAGTTGTTGCAACTAGATCGTGGCCTGAGCTGCAAAGTTTCTTTGAAGACTCTTGGGACTCATTTCAGTTCTTTGATCAGATGGGTGGAATATTTTCAATTTTTAAGAGAGTCATGACCCATGGGGCTGTCCATGACATTAGACAGTTGCAGATGATGTTAAGACATCTTACCAACAATCTAACTTTCCAGGAGGCATATGACATGACTGGTCGAATTTTGGGGATTACTGTCTGCTCTCCTAGGAAGCATGAACCTCCTAGATGTCTGAACTATTTAACTTCACCTCATGTTGTTATATGGAGTGCTGTCACTGCTTCTTGTGCTTTTCCAGGCCTTTTTGAAGCTCAAGAGCTTATGGCTAAAAATAGGAGTGGGGATATTGTCCCTTATCATCCACCATTTCATTTAGATCCTGAGCAGACTTCTGGGGCATCTTCACGCCGCTGGAGAGATGGTAGCTTGGAAGTTGATTTGCCAATGATGCAGTTGAAGGAGCTCTTCAATGTCAATCACTTTATTGTCAGTCAAGCGAATCCACATATTGCTCCCTTATTGAGGATTAAGGACTTTGTCAGAGCTTATGGAGGCCATTTTGCTGCTAAGGTATTTGTTTAGGCTTCGCCTTTGTTGCTTATGCATTTCGTAGTGCGTTAAAGCTTTTGAATTTATGGGTGGGTTGGCGCTTTCAGTTCGAAATAGCTATCCGGTAGGAGGGATTGAGGGGGTTTCCGAGAAGTATAACTGTCACCTGCTTTTACATAACTGTCCCTGTAGTTGCATCTTTAGGATGTATGTTATTTCCATTGCTTCTATCTATCATTAACGTGCGAGTCTTTTCATCACAATGCTGCCTTAATGTATTTTGGTCTGACTTAATGTATGACTGGTAGCAACATCAAATTTTAATTTTGAAGATAAAAAACCAATGGTAACTTCAACACTTCTTTAATTTGATTCAATGATGAATGCTTACATTTTTGTACCAATGGTAGTTATTGTATTAATATACCAATGTCTCATCTGAAGTTTGTTAAGTAATGAAGGTGGAGATTTAGGAGAATGATGTTTGTTGAGTCTAATCGACTCCATTGTCTTTTTCTGTATTTTCATTTTGTGGAGAAACTTTTGCAAGTCTTTGATAGTTGAAATATGATATTTATGTAGCTTGCCCATCTGGTCGAAATGGAGGTTAAGCACAGATGTAATCAAGTACTGGAACTTGGTTTTCCACTGGGAGGATTAGCCAAGCTGTTTGCCCAGGACTGGGAGGGTGATGTAACAGTTGTGATGCCAGCTACTCTTGCTCAGGTTTGTAAATTTCCATTTGGTTTACTGAGAAAACTGTCATCTATTGGAGGTGCAGACAAACCTTCGTGCATTTAGTATCTTACCTAGGAGGGAAAAAACCCTTTCAGTATAGAAACTTTGGCAATAGTTTGGGAACTAAAATGAACAAATGCTCATCGTTGAATTGGACAAAAACAAATTCTTCCTTGCCCTGTGTCTCCCCATTTATATGATTTGGATAGGTATTTTTGTCAACACTTATTGATATAAAAAAACAAAAACGCGCTAAAGGATATGGTTGTTTTTGTTGATTGGACAGCTAATTTGGGAGTTTTTGACTCTGTTTGGTGTTCATATCTGTTCAATAATTCTGTTTTGTTTTACGAAAATCTTGGTTTAGCTGTTTAAATATAGAGTTTCTATATGCCAATCTCAGTTGAGCAACTTTGAGGTCTGTCAAATTTGCTAAGAGATGCAATTATTTTTTGTATTGAGCAGAAAGTTCGACCCTTCACTTATTTTCTACAAGATCTCTTTGATTAACTCTCTTATCTTTCTTTTCCCTTAATGCTTCAGTATTCAAAGATCATACAAAATCCCTCTCATTTGGAACTCCAAAAGTCCGCCAACCAGGGTAGGCGATGTACTTGGGAGAAGTTGTCAGCGATAAAAGCCAACTGTGGAATTGAGTTATGTCTTGATGAGTGTGTTGGTATACTTAACCACATGCGTAGACTGAAAAGGAGCGCTGAAAGAGCAGCTGCTGCTTCACATGGCTTGACTAGTACTGTTAGGTTCAATGCATCTAAGAGAATCCCGTCTTGGAACTGTATTGCACGAGAGAACTCTACAGGATCTCTTGAAGAAGATCTACTCGTTGATGTTGCTTCTTCACTACATCATGGAGCCAGTGGATCCACAACACCTTCTGGCAGAAATTGGCGAAGTTTCCGAAACACCCATGACGGAAGTGACAGCGAATCTGAAAGTGCTGATTTCAATTCTTGGACAAGATCTGGTGGTCCGTTGATGAGGACTACTTCAGCTGATAAGTTTATTGACTTTGTCCAGAATTTGGACATTGATAGCAGGCTTAGCAGGGCAAGTGCACTTCAGCCCAGCAATATAGGAAGCCAGGTAGTTGGCAGAGATGGGTTATTGCAAACTTCTAGGACAATGACTCCAGATAGAACGTCAGACTCAGAGTTTGATCAAAGAGACTTAACTACCAGAACTTCTATCCCTGGTTCGAGCATTATGGTAGCTGAAGGTGACCTGCTACAGCCTGAGCGATTGCACAACGGAATTGTGTTCAATGTTGTGAAGAAAGAAGATCTAACACCCTCAAACAGGAGTCAGGAATCGAGCGTTAGTTCTCCTCATGATTCACTGCCTGAATGTATGCAACTCGAAACTCCAGAAAGGGATTTGGATGCTAGCTCAGCATCTGATGACGATGGGGATGATGGTAATGCTAGAGTTGGAAACTTTGAGAACAGAACCGATACTCCTGTCCTTGATGTCTCTAACGTCAGTGAAGGTAAGCAATAATGTAGGATCTCTTGCATTTGATGACAACGTCTAATAGTTTATACTCATAGAATCTTACTTCCTTTGAAGAAGTATAATCGAGAAAGCAACATTGAGTTCTGGAGCTCATTGAGGTGAGTTTGACATTTGTAAATAAGCTGTAGAACAGTAGGGTAGTATACTTTCCACAACTGAAGCATGTTGTCCTGTATAATTCTTTGTTGTGCTAGTTGGCGAATTATTTGGTCTTTTTGACGGCCATAATCTAGATTTTCGATTCTTAATTTCAATATATCCATATAGCATTGTAGCCAACATTCTCCATCTATAATCGTTAAGTAAAATAGTTATATCAATACAGAATCTATAATCTCATTCTTGCTACTTTTGCTACTTAATTTCAAAAATAACTGATTTCCAAAAAATTTCAAAAATAATTTACTAAACTCTCAATTTGACTACAGCAGATTCTATCACAGATCCTATCCACAAAAACTCACCTTTTCTTTCCTCATCAACCTCACTTGCATACCTCCATACTGCTCCACTTTTATCCAGCAACACCTCTACAATCTTTCCATTCTGATCCAATTTAGCAGCCATTCCCAATCCGCTATACTTCGAGTTCCCTCCTGATTTTGCATTCATGGCCACCCAAAATTCGCCATTCTTATTACCTCTTATATTATCTGGGTTCCCAGGAAGTTCCGTAAATACATCAATCTTCCCGGCTGCTAACTTCCGTGATCTAAGCCAATACCTCAAAACTCTACCATTTGTAGTCTCTGTGATTAATACGAAATCGCCATTTCCACCGACCGCTACTCCATTTGGAAACATGAGCCCGTCTGCAATAACAATCACCGCCTTTGTTTTCGGGTTGAACTCCATCAACCTTCCTGTATTGTCTCCGGTGGAGATGACTTTCTGATAATCTTTTCTCGGGAACCTAGTACTGCTGTCCGTGAAGTAAATGAGTCCTGAGGTATGATCAATCGCCAAGTCGTTTGTGAATCGGAAAGGAACACCTTGGGCTTCTGTGGCGAGTGGAGTGGCGACTCCTCCATTTGGGCCGACTACGAGGAGACCCATGTACGCGTCGGCGATGTAAAGCTGGCCGGTTTCGGTGTCGAACCTCAAACCCAATGGTCTTCCGCATCTTGCCTCGGTTTGGGTATGATCATGTGGGCCTTCGCAGCCTGATCTGTTTGGAGTCGTTACAGCGAAATTGACCCAGCTGTTCAGTGTGGCATTCCACTTGATTATTCGCCCGTCGGAAACGCCGGTGTAAGGGCCGACACCGGCCGGGTCAAAAGCCAAACTCTCGGGTCCGGAAGCTCCCGGGATTGAAAGCCGTTGTGATAATGTAGGAATACGTTGAGGGTTTTGAGTCCACCAGGTTAGCATTCCGATCAAAAGAAATGCAGCGGAATAGAAGTTACCATTACCCATGAAGACGATTGAAGAAGAATACTGCCAATATCAATGATTTATGGTCAATGAAAGCCAAAACTGAAATTCACAATGGAAATGGAAGACGAAGAATTTATTTGGACTGACTACGAAAATTACTGCATGCAATCAATGAATAAGGGTCCTATACCAAACTTGAGTCTCTCTTATCTTTCTCAAACAAAATTTGAAAATGAAAGAAAGATTAATCTATTCAACATTCTTTTTTTTTTTTTTTCTACGGTATCCCTCTAACCGATAACGAGAAAAATAATACTTTGCCGTAGAGGAAGGACCAAATAGTTTACTTCATTCATACGAACAAGGATCGAATCCCTGAGTTAGTACTTAAGGGAAAATGTGCTGAATCACCAGACAAATCATGTTTGTTAATCTAAACAACATTCTATATTCATTAAGTTTTTGTTTTAGAAGAAAGAGCTACTCCGACCCACTTTAATAATGTACATTTATAATTTTTGTTTTAATCCAATATATATATATATATATATGGAAAATTTAGAGTCTCATTGGTCATTTTTATGGAACCGTCCCGTTTTGTCTTCAACCAATCAAAATTAAGGGTATAAGATGTAATCATGTGGTGACTAACATTCTATAATATCATAAACTAATTGAGAAAATGATCACTTTTGCCCAAAACATCAAGTTTCTGGCCAATTTGACCCAAAATATTTTTGAGAAACTAAATTTATCATCTAAATTTCAATTTTTTTTTCCAATTTAATTCAAATTAATGAGAATTCTGTTAGATTTAATATTTTTACTAACATTCTGTTACTTTATACAATTTTTTATTGGTAAAAAAACTTTGTTGACCCAAAATTTTAACATTTTATCCCTAATGTTTTGTTATTCAGTAACATACGCTTATCTTACCATTTAATTATTATAACGTCCCTACCACATAATTTATCTCCTAATCTAATTCACTGCGCCCACCCTAAGGCTCTTTCTTTTCTTTCTCTTTTACTTGTTTTCCGCTGCTGCACCACCACCGACCCTTTTCTCTTCTCTCCTAAAAATTACCATCACCACTTCCTAAATCTGTGAGGATTTCAAACCATCACCACAAACATAAAAATTTGCCTCCACCAACAGTACACAATCCTCCCTCCATCACTACTCGCATTTTCGTCGCCACCACTTTTCTTTAGTTCCACGAAAATTATAAAATATTTTACTTATTTTTCCTTTTTTTCCCTTCTTCTTTCTAAAAACTTGTACAAAGTAACGGAAAAGGAAAAAATAGCGGTTACACCATTTTGACCCTGTCGTCAATTTTACCCTCTTGATTTTCGATTAGCCAATTTTGTCCTTTATGGAAATTTTTGTCAATTTCATCCAATTGGTCAAATCTCTGTTAAACTTAATGAATATTCGTTAGTTTTTAACAAAAATACCCCAATAGTTTCAAAATATTATAAATATAACTCACAAAATATTTTTTGAATTATCTGGAACTTGAACGTCGTTTTCATCCTTTTTCTTGCTTAAAAAAATGTAAAAATAACAAAATATCCCCTTTTCACTTGTATTCATTTTAATATATTTCATTTTATTTCTATTTATTACTTTTCATAACCATCAAAATATACTATATGATTTTTAAAAAATAATTATTTATTTTCAACAATATTTTTTATGTACAACACACTTGAGTTGGGTTTAGAGGTAATTTTGTCTTTTCATATTTTTTAAAATTTTTTAATTTGTTTTATTTTATTTTTTTTAACAATTTTCTTCTTGTACTCTCTGACTTGTCTATGTTGGCATTAGTATAATTATTATATTTCAAGAAAAAAATTTACCTTTTGTAATTCAATTTCGAGGTTTAAAAAAAATTAAAAAATATGCTGTTAAAAAATATACGATTTATCTTTGTCATGAAACTCAATGATTGCTTATATAGTTTAGCCATGGGCAAAGTAACAAAAATTACTAAAAAAGAATAAAAATTGTGCTAAACAAATTTAAAACAATTCATCGGCGTGGACTATATAAATAAGCACTTTTTCCTATTTCAAATGATTATCTAATCTTTATATTATTTTTACTATCACAAACAAAATAATCATTTTAGGCTAGATCAAGTAAAATTTATATTTCGTAACTTACCTATGAATTACAAGAAGTCAAGCAGGAAAGACTTATCTTAGTAGTTTTTTTTTCCCAGATTTTTTTTTTGGTTTAGAATGATAACCTATTAATTTTCGTATTTATTTCAACTCGATTTTTTCTTCCTCATTTTCTTTATTTTTTAAAATTTTTATAATCTATGAAATAAAAAGTAAATTAATTAATGAAATTTAGTAATTATACTAGTAGCAACAGATACAAGTCAGGAAGTATAAGAAAAAGAATAGTAAATAACAAAAATAAAAAAATTAATTAAAAATTTTAGAAATATGACAAAATTACTTCTGAACTAAATTCACATGTTTGCACATGAAAAATAGAGTTTGAAAATAAATACTTATTATTTTAAAGATCTTATAATTTATTTTGATGGTTATAAAAAGTAGTAAAGAGAGATAAAATGAAATAAAAATAAATAAATAAATAATGAAAAGAGATTATTTTGTTGATTTTACATATTTTGGGGTTATTTTTATAATTTTTTTTGATGCAATTGAGATATATTTTTGTTAAAAATTAACTGAAATCCCTTAAGTTCAACGGAAACTGGGCAAATTGGATGAAATTGGCAAAAATTTCAAACGTAAAGGGCAAAATTGGCTAACCAAAAATCAATGGAGTAAAATTAAATTTTAGGTACAACCGTCATTTTATCCATAACGGAATGTCAGCGGAGGTGTTAAATCTAACGGAATTTTCATCAATTGGATGAAATTGGTCAGAAATTGAAACTTAGATGATGGATTTGGCTTCACAAAAATCTTTTTGGGTCAAATTAGCTAGACACTTAAAGCTTTGGGCATAATTAACCAATTTTTCTAAATTTTTTTCAGTTTTATCAGGTGTGTTTAGGTATATTTACCTATGATGTACCCTCATTGTAATCCTACGGTTGTTAATTAGCTTAATTAATCCTACGATTTTTATCTTAAAACGGAACCGTCCCGTAACGGGACTCTAGCCGCTCCCATAAATATGTGTGTGTGTGTGTGTGTGTGTGTGTTTTGTGTGTGTGTGTGTGTGTTTGTGTGTGTGTGTGTGTGTGTGTGTGTGTGTGTGTGTGTGTGTGCGTGCGCGCGTGCACATGCGTGTGTGTGTGTGTGTGCTTGTGTGTGTGTGTGTGTAAGGAAAATCTAGAGTCCCGTTGGCCATTTTTACGGAAATGTCTCGTTTTGTCTTCAACCAATCAGAATTAAGGGTATAAGATGAATAACATTCTATAATATCATAAACTAATTGAGAAAATGATCACTTTTGCCCAAAACATCAAGTTTCTGGCCAATTTGACCCAAAATATTTTTAGAAAACTAAATTCATCATCTAAATTTTAATTTTTTGTCAATTTAATCCAAATCGATGATAATTCTGTTAGATTTAATATTTTCATTGACATTCCGTTACTTTGTACAATTTTTTATTTGTAAAAAACTTTGTTGACCCAAAATTTTAACATTTTATCCATAATATTTTGTTATTCAGTAACATACGCTTATCTTACCATTTAATGATTATAACGTCCCTACCACATAATTTATCTCCTAATCAAATTCATTGCTCCCACCCAAAGACTCTTCCTTTTCTTCCTCTTTTACTTGTTTTCTGCTGCCGCACCACCACCGCTCCTTTCCTCTTCTCTCCTAAAAATTACTATCACCACTTCCTAAATCTGTGAGGATTTCAAACCATCACCACAAACATAAAAATTTGCCTCCACCAACAGTACACAATCCTCCCTCCATCACTACCTGTATTTCTGTGGCCGCCATTTTTCTTCAGTTCCACAAAAATTACAAAATATTTTACTTATTTTTCCTTTTTTTTTTCCCTTCTTCTTTCTAAAAATTGTACAAAGTATCGGAAAAGGAAAAAATAACGGTTACACCATTTTGAGCCCGTCGTCAATTTTACCCTACTGATTTTCGATTAGCCAATTTTGTCCTTTATGTTTAAAATTTTTGTCAATTTCATCCAATTGGTCAAATTTCCGTTAAACTTAACGGATCTCTGTTAGTTTTTAACCCTAATATTTTCAAAATATTATAAAGATAACTCACAAAATATTTTTTGAGTTATCCGGAGCCTGTACGTCATTTTCATCCTTTTTCTTGCTTAAAAGAAATATAAAAATAATAAAATATCCCCTTTTCACTTGTATTCATTTTAATCTATTTCATTTTATTTCTATTTACTACTTTTCATAACCATCAAAATATACTATATGATCTTTAAAAAATAATTATTTATTTTCAACAATATTTTTCATGTGCAACACACTTGAGTTGGGTTTATAGATAATTTTGTCTTTTTATATTTTTTAAAAATTTTAATATGTTTTAATTTATTTTTTTTAACAATTTTCTTCTTGTACTCTCTGACTTGTCTGTGTTGGTACTAGTATAATTACTATATTTCAAGAAAAATATTTACCTTTTGCAATTCAATTTCGAGGTTTAAAAAAATATTAAAAAATATGCTTTTAAAAAATATACGTATTTATCTTTTTTCACGAAATTCAATGATTGCTTATATAGGTTTTTTTTTTAGGAGAACCGGGGCGGTACCTGGCGGGCATCCCCCCGATTTTATTGATTTAAAGTAAAAGTTACAATTGGCAGTACTTAAGACTTACCCAAAAAGAAGGACTGTCCTACAATCATTTTCTAATTTTTCTATGACGGCTCTGTTGCAAAGCTAAAGCTAAGAGCCGTCTTACAAAGAATCTTCTTGTGATCCCCTGACAGCTCTAACATCCATAACCTCTCTAAACTAAGATACTGCCTTACAAAAATTGTCTAAAATCCCTGGCAGTTCTTTGGTTTCCTAGTCTAGTTCCTATCTAGTCCTAATGTAAGGAAAATATTGTTGATCCAATGATAATATACCTCTCAAGTGGGGCGGAAGGCCAGTTGGACTATCACAAGAGAAGGAATTACCACTTACGCTTGTTTGGACAGTTCACCCGCTAGAGCATTGACTTCTCGAAAGATATGGTGAAAATAAATAAAGTTTGAAAATAAATACTTATTATTTTAAAGATCTTATAATATATTTTGATGGTTATAAAAAGTAGTAAATAGAAATAAAATGAAATAAAAATAAATAAATAAATAATAAAAAGAGATTATTTTG